GGCTGGCTGGAGCCTGAGTGGGGCCACCCCCTTACAAATGCTGTCCTGAGCCACAGTCTTGAGTCTGGTTCCCTTTGAGCAAGCGTGGTGGGTCAGGGCAAGGAGATGAGAAGTGAGGCCTGCCTGCAGGGAACCAGGAACCCCCTAGGAAAGAAAGCTGGGAGCGAGCCAGACAGATTAGAGCATGGGGGGCGAGGGTGGGAGACTGGGTGGGTGGGCCATGCACTGTGGACCAGGTGGGGTCAGACCAGCTGAGGGGTGGGAAAGATGTGGTTAATGGAAAGGTAGGCTGTTCGGGATGCATGGCAACCTTGCTGGTGTGGCAAAGGGGGTCAGCTTGATGTGCAGGGGGCACTTTGGGAAGAGGACCCCCTGCCCGGGGTTTCCTGTGGGGGCAAGGGGCTGTTGGTGTAGGGGAGCAGTGGTGATTGGTGAGGACCTGGGTGAGGGCCGGGTGGGAGCTTATGGCTGAGAAGGGCCTGGGAGCTGGGCCCTTTGGCCGTGGTTTGGGGAGATGCCACCCCTCCAAGCCTCAGCTCCTGGTGGGTGCATGTGGCCAATCCCCGGTCCACCACTGACCAAGGACACATGAGTTGCCATTCACTTCCCCTCTCCTGCCTGCGGCCTGATCTGTGAAGAAGGCTGTGCTTGTCTGGTGGAAAAGTTCCAGGGGCCTGAGGTTGGGAGGATGTGGGGAGCCGTGGCCATGTCCCTGCACTGCCCCTCCCATCTGTGGCCTTTTTCTTCCCCCCAGCTGCTGTCCACTCCCCTCCCTGCCCCCAGGATTCTGCTGAGAGCAAAGCCCTTCCCCTGCCCCCAGACCTCACCACCTGCTCCTGGGCACAATCCTCGCTTTGTGTGGTCTGGCAGTTGTCATGCAGCTGCGCCCCTCCCCCCCCCCCCTGCAGAGGCCTCTCATGGAGGGGGCTCCCATCCCACGGCAGCCTGACCCAGTGTGGGGAGGGTCAGGCCCAGAGCCAGGTGCTGGGAAGGCGGAAGTGACCAGGGCCTTGTCCCGAGACCCATCCCCTGCATGTGTCCCACGCTCCATAGAACGTGCTCAGCCAGGAGGGGAGAAGTCACTGGGGTGAGGGCCCTGCGTGATAGGCCAAGCGGCCTTTGGAGACTCAGTGCAGGCACTGGCAGCGGTGCTGGATTGGGCCTGTTGCCTTCTGTGTCCGGCAGGGGCATTTTGCCGGGCAGCCTGCATGCCAGGCCAGGTCGGGGGAGCCATGGGTCAGGGAGGGTGGGGGGGGTGGCGGCTAAGAAGGGGCCTGTAGGGCAGCGTGGCAGGGTGGAAGCAGAAGAAGAGGGAAGGTTAGACAAGGTGCAGCTTGGGGGGGGGCCTGGCTGACCTGCAGACACGTGGCCACACGCGGACACTTCCCTCCGTTCGGCTTTCTCAGGCTTTTACCTGCAGGACACCTGCTGGCCTGTTTTCTAGACACATCCTACCTGAGCACACAGTTGGAGGTGGGCCCTCAAGACATGGGGCCTGCCCCCCATTCCTGTCCTCTGTGCCTCTCCTCTCCCCTGCCCTCTCATTTCTTACTTCTTCCCCTTGGGCCCACGGGGGTCCCCTTCCCTCCTGTGCTTACTGGGACCACCCCGAGCCCTGGTGTGGCTGGGACAGAATACCCAGGGACACAGGGAGCTGCTCTGTAGCTCGCTGTGAATTATTCATCAAGAATTGAAGCCTTTCTGCCACCTGAGCTGATTTGTAGGTCCTAATACTCCTTGGAAGACAGAATGGATCAAGTAGGACCTATTTGATTGGGCTCAAGAGGCCCGTTGTTTTGTCATGTAGGGGTTTTGTGAATAAGGCCAAGGTCTTACCCTCTGTCTTGAATTGTGGCCCTGGCCTTCGGCCCCTCTGTCTGGCGCCTCTGTCTGAGTTTTCCTGAATTAAGGTGCCTCTTTGTGGACTCGATCCACAAGTCCATCCATCCATCCATCCACCCATCTACCAGCCCATCCATCTATCCATCCATCCATCCATCCATCCATCCATCCATCCATCCATCCATCCATCAGCATCCACCCATCTACCCATCCATCCATCAGCATCCACCCATCCATCTACCCATCCACCCATCCATGCATCCATCCATCCATTCATCCATCCATGCATCCATCCTCATCCACCCATCCATCTATTCACCCATCCATCCATCCATCAGCATCCGCCCATCATCCACTCATCCACCCATCCACACATCCATCCATCCATCCACCCACCCATCCATCCATCCATCCATCCATCCATCCATCCATCCATCCATCCATCCGGGCTTCCTGCTGCACCTTTCCCTACGCTCTTCTCCCTGCCTGCTTTTTCTCTGCACCAGTTTTAGCATCTGTAAGAAACCACAGTAGGGGTGCATAGCATACCCCTGTTGGGGAAATAGAATTAAAAACAAAAAGCTGATGCAGCCTGCTGCACACGGTCTCCAGATAAAGTGTAACTCGTCCTCAGCAAGAGGACTTCCCCAGTGGCACCGTTTGTGACCCAGAGTTCATCTTAAAATCACCTGGCCATTGGGGTGGCCATCTGTGTTTGCTAATTGCCTTTCTCCCAAGGAACAGGGTGTGTCTCCTATCTTTATGATGGGATAGTTCTGCAGCCTGGAGCCAGGCACCCCGGGAAGTCAGGCCCCCACCCACCCTCCCCTGGGTCACCATCTTCCTTGGTGTTTACATTTCTTTTTTTTTTTTTTTAAGATTTTATTTATTTATTTGAGAGAGAGAGACTGAGAGAGAGAGCACATGAGAGGGGGGAGGGTCAGAGGGAGAAGCAGACTCCCCGCTGAGCAGGGAGCCCGATCCAGGGACTCGATCCAGGGACTCCAGGATCATGACCTGAGCCGAAGGCAGTCGCTTAACCAGCTGAGCCACCCAGGCGCCCCTGGTGTTTACATTTCAAGGAGGTGGCTCCCAGGGCTTGGAGGGAGGTGGGGGCGGGGGGTTTGTAAAGCTCCCAAGAGGCTTGTGTAACTTTTGGAAAGATTTACATGCCTCTCGAAGGGGCAGAGAGACATTCACAATGTCCTCTGAGCCTCTTTAAGAGGACATCTTATCTGCAGTGGGTGAGAGGCCTCTCCAAGGCATGGGACACACAGTAACCTGGAGGGAAGAGGTGGCGCCAAGGCAGGAGCATCAGCATCCATCCATCCATCCACCCACCCATCTACCAATCCATCCATCCATCCATCCATCCATCCATCCATCCATCCATCCATCCACCCATCTACCAACCCATCCATCCATCCATCCATCCATCCATCCATCCATCCATCCATCCATCCATCCACCCACCCATCTACCAACCCATCCATCCATCTATCCATCCATCCATCCATCCATCCATCCATCCATCCACCCATCTACCAACCCATCCATCCATCCATCCATCCATCCATCCATCCATCCATCCACCCATCTACCAACCCACCCATCCATCCATCCATCCATCCATCCATCCATCCATCAGCATCCAGCCATCTACCCATCCATCCATCAGCTTATTCGATTAAAAAAAAAACAATTTCACAATGACAACTTTTCTTAAGTAAACGCTCTAAAAGAAAGGGCCGGAGTTTTTTTCCCCTTGTGCCCTAAGGAAAATGATTTCTTTCTTTTTTAAATTCATATTTGCCCTTATGCCCCTGCCCCCACCTCTCTTGGCAGGGCCCAGATTCCCAGCCTGGGTCCCTGCCCACCTCCCCCCGCCCCAGTGGCTGTTGGAAGGGGACCTGGGAGAGGGGAGGGGGGACGCCCTTGGGATGAGGTTTCTTGAGGGCCCGAGGTGGAGAGCAAGAGGAGATGGCTTTTTGTGAGGTGACTGAGCAGAGGGGCCGGGAAGAAAGCCCTGACCAGGACATGGAGAAGCCCCTTTGTAGCAGCAGGGGAGCGGGGCATCTGGGCTGTGGGGGGCAAGTGCCACAGATCCTCACTCGGGTCTTGGCAGGTGTGGGCACGGGGAGGGTACAGGTGTGTGAAACAACCTTAGGAGAGGCTGCCCACGGCACTGCGTGCAGAAAATGAACCACCCCCCTCTGAGTGCAGGTCAGCCGGCCATCCGGTCAGGTCACACACCACCGGAAGTGCCCTCGGGCTGGGGGCTTTCTCCTAGGCCGGGCATTCAGCAGTGAGCACGGAAAAGTCCCATATTCTCGAAAGATGACGGGATACGCAGACAAGTAAATACCAGGTCAGGTGGCGAAAAGTGTCAAGGAGGAATGTGAAGTGGGGTTAGGGCTGTGATAGGGAAGGCAACTCGGAGGAGGGGGCATTGAGGCAGAGACTGAAAGGCAAGGGGCGTGCAGGGATCTGGGGGAGAGCGCCCCACGTACAGGGGCAGCCAGTGGAGCTTGGGGCCCCCCAGCTGACCTGTCCCTGACAATGAGCCAGTCAGGACGTGCCCAAAACCTTGAGCATTAAAACAAAGAAAAAACATGAGCCCCAGATGGGTGAACTCTTTCATGGGTCCCCCCACCCCCCGATGGCTTGTATGTGATCTTGCATGCAGTAGGGACGGGAGGGGACTTTGAAGGAGAGGGGCCGGTGAGGGTGTCTTCCAGGGTGTCTCCACGACCACTCAGGTGGGTCTCCGGGCTTAGCTGAGTTTCCTAGGGTGGCATCTCTCACCCCCCACCCTGCTGATATTGAGCCCATGGGTGTGAGGCTCTGGTCTGGGAGTTAGAAGAGCTGGGGCCTCCCCTGGTGCCACCATTCAGCCGCCTCTGTGACTTGGGGCATGTCAGGGGCCCTCCCTGGCCTCAGTTTCCTCCTCATAAAATGGGAATAATGCCTGTTCTACCTGCCTAGCAGGTATGTGTGCAATTTTACAAAAGCCCTGCACTTATGACTGAGGTCAGGGACAGAGAAGCTCTTGAAAAAGAGGGAACACATTCTGTGAGGTGGCAGGAGGGCGGGGGGGCCCCATTCGGTCCTTGTCCCACTGGCCAGCTCTCCTTCCTCTGCCCCCTTCTCACCCACAGACGGCAGGGCAAGCGCTGCTGCCCGGGAGCCTCCGCCGATGGAGTGTGGCCTGGCTGGCGCGAGCACAGGTAAGGGAGTGCAGGGACCGGTGGGAGCCCCCTGCGGCCTCCTCCGCCAGGCCCGTCTTCCCCGCCCTGGCCCCTGTCCTGCCCCTGTGTGTGAGGTGCTGCCGTCACTAGGAGCCTGTGGGCTGTAGAATTGCAGAGCGGGATCAGGAGGTGGAAGGTCACGTCAAAGAAGGCAAAGAAGACCGACTTCGGGAGCTAAGAAAATGACAAAAGGCCACTGTGCCTCGCTAGGCAAGGGGACGCGCACACACCCGTGCAGAAAGCCAGGCGGGAGGGCGAGTGAGGCGTTTGCTAACTGCTGGTGGTCACGCTGATCTAACATTGAAAACCAGCGCTCTGGATGAGACGATCCCTGTTGGTTTTGATCAGGAAAGTGCCTTCGGTTTGGTCCTGGGGTTGCTCAGAGTTCATGGGCGGTGGAGAGGAAACAGGCAGGCAGTTTTGGTGTCTGCCAGGCAGGTGCTGCTGTGAGCTGAGAGTCCTGCGCTCTGGGCACAAGGCCCCCCAGCCCCCAGCATCCCTGACCTCCTCACCACCCTGCTGCCCAATGGCTCTGGTCCTGGGAGAGGGGGCAGGGCCCGTCCCTGGGAACGCTGCCCCTTGGCTCAGTGACTCTGGTTTCTTTACCTCCCCTCCCCTCCAGGGCCTTGCCCCACGGACCCCAGAGCCCCGACCTTCCCGGGATAATCATCACAATGAACCTAAGATGGAGACAAAAATCAGGCAGTAGAGTAATAAAGGAATGAAGCTTCCAGCTCAGAGGGGGTGGGATGATACATGGATACCGCACATCCTGGGGCCGGCTCCTGATGCAGACTTCAGGAGCATAGTCACCCCACTTCCCAGGCCAGCTCCCCACCACTGCCATGTCACTTCGAAGGCTGGGAGCCCTCAGGGTGTGTGTGTGTGTGAGCGCAAGAGATACTGATGTTACCATAATTACGGTAAAACTGAGGACAGGTGGTTTCAGACGTTTTAGCAGAAGGAACCTTTTCCCAGGGAATCTTATAAGTAATTCCTAGTTCAGGCATGAGAGATGTGTCGGCCAGGGCCCTCTCCCTCACCTCTGGCAGCTTCTGAGGTGCCCTGGAGTCTTAGGGAAGAGGTGGGAGAACACCGGCTTTGACCTTGGAGGTCGGAGGCACTGGGGGGCTGGGCACCTGCTGGCCAGGCTTAGGGAGGGAGGGACTCTTTCTGGATGGCTGAAGTTTTCAGTTAATTACGAGCTTACCTCTTTTTTTTTTTCTATTTATTTTATGTGTTTTTTCCTTATTGTGATGAAATATACACGTGAAATTTACCATTTGAACCGTGTTTAAGTGTACGAGACGGTGGTATTAAGTACACTCACATGGTTGTGCAAGCACCACCATCTCCAGAACGTTTTCATCGCCCCAGAAACTCTGTCCCCATTGAGCAATAGCTCCCCCTTTAGCACCTTTGTATTTTATCCGAACCATTTAGAATTTTTAAAAAAATTACCCTTTTTATGATGACAAAGGAGCTGAACCTTTGTTTTAGGACTCCTTCGACAGACAGGCCAGGGCCTGTTTTCTTTGTGTTAATACCTGAGCCCTGAGGGAAGGTGTGCCTGATGACCGAGGTCCTGTGCACACACTTCAGAGGGGCCTACGCTCGCACAGCCCACTCACTTGTGTCTGCTCTGGGCCTAACAGCAGCGGACAGGAATGTTCTCTGGGCTTTCAGGCCAGGCCCATCTTTTTGGCCGGAGAGGGCTTGCCTCCCCAGCCATCAAGCCACCATGATAACGTCAAGATCGGGTTTAATCAGAGCAAGACAGTGACTTCTGTGGGGCTCTGGGGCATTAACTGGGACCCCGTCACTTGGGGACAGCAATGCCCCGCTCACCTGAGTGTATTTCGGATTCACTACCTGACCGCCAGTTTGGACACCTATCGCGTTAATTACTTCTGCTGGCCAACATTTCAGGACATCTAAAGAAATCCTCTTATAGTCAAGTAAACTTATTACAATTGGGTATTCAATTCCTGCCAATGTGCAGTTTAAATCACCACTTTCATCTTCAAATTATGACTCCTGCTAAAATGATTTCTCACAACCAAGCACCTGGGAAGGCCTTCCAGGGTCATGTTGCCAGGAGGGAAACTGGCCCCTCACAGGTACTGTCTGGGCCCCCACCCTCCCACCCCATCCCCGCAGTCACCACATCCGCTTCCTTGTCCTCATGGTGGCCAGTGAGGCTGTGGAGGGGGGCCGGGCTCTTTGGCCCTGGAACCCCCAGATTCTTTTTTTTTAAATCTTTTTTTTTTTTTTTTTAAGATTTTATTTAGTCATTTGAGACACAGAGATACGGAGAGAGAGAGCATGAGCAGGGAGAGAGGCAGAAGGAGAAGGAGAAGCAGGCTCCCCGCTGAGCCAGGAGCCTGATGTGGGGCTCAATCCCAGGACCCTGGGATCACGACCTGAGCCGAAGGCAGATGCTTAACCATCTGAGCCACCCAGGAGCCCGAACCACCAGATTCTAACTGAGGTTTTCTTTTTATTTCTTAAAAAAAAAAAAATTTTTTTTTAAAGATTTTATTTATTTATTTGACAGAGAGTGACACAGAGAGAGAGGGAACACAAACAGGGGGAGTGGGAGAGGGAGAAGCAGGCTTCCCGCGGAGCAGGGAGCCCGATGCGGGGCTCGATCCCAGGACCCTGGGATCATGACCTGAGCTGAAGGCAGACGCTTAACCAACTGAGCCACCCAGGCACCCTATTTCTTAAAATATTTTAAAGATTTTAAAATTCGAATATTTGAATATTCTCATACAAATTCAAACAGTGCAGCTAAAGTGAGGGTCCCCCTTGACTTCTCCCATCTAGTCCTTGTGCACATCGTCTGCAGGGCACCCACCGTCAGGCTTCAGTGTGGATCCTCAGAGTATGCGTATGTCTGTACATGGAGAGCTAGGGTGTTATTTTTCATAAATTGGGTCAGACGACTGTTCGTTGGTTCTCAGTTTGTTTTTTGTTTTCTCTTCAAATGTTTTGGAAATCTTCACATCAGCGTATATACGGCTCTTCGGCATTTTTTTCAGTTGCTACCTACTATTCCATATTACGAAGGGAATGATCACTTGGTGGAACTGTTACTGATGGATAATTAGACTGTTCTCTAGCTTTTGCTAAGTACAAATAGCGCTGCAGTAAATATTTGTGGACATTCCTCTGTACACTCCTATGCAAGTATTTATTAGGATGAACACCCAGAGTGAAACTGTTGGGTGGAGGAAATGGAAGTTTCGATACATTTATAATTTTAACAGGCACTGTCAAATGGTTCTCCAAGAAGTCTGAAGTAGTTCATGCCCCAGCACACCCACATATACACTTGATCTCCTCGGTAGTTTCCGGGTGCTAGAAACATCTGTGTGCAGGTTTCTGTGTAGACAGAAGTTTTCAGCTCCTTGGGGAAAATAACCAGGGGAGTGATTGCTTATCGTATGGAAAGAGTATGTTTTGTTTTGTCAGAAACTGCCAAACTGTTCTCCAAAGTGGGTGCCTCGTGCAGCATCCCCAGCAGCAGAGAATGACGGTCCCTGTGTCTCCACGTCCCCGCCAGCATCTGGTGTTTGCAGTGTTCTGGGTTTTGCCCATCCTCATGGGTGTGTAGTGGTAGTATTTTAGCTTTCGATGTTGTATAAGCCAAATTCTTCCTTGCTCATTTTTAGAGTTTTCTGCATAGTTTATGCACATGAGAAATTTTGTAATTCACTTAATTAGGGTTACACTGAATTTAAACATTGTTTTGGAGTGAAGAACTTCCTTCTCATCTAGGAATATGATGTATCTGTCCTTTTAGTTACATTTTCTTTATCCTTTCAGTAACATTTAATAGCTTCCTTGATATAAGTGTATGTATGTTAGGTTTCTTCCCAGTCATTTTATAGCTTTTATTGCCATTTTTAAAATTTATGAATTTTTATATGTTTTTGTTTCTGGCAAGCTTGCTGAAACTCTTATTTTATTTTATTTATTTGTCAGGGAGAGACAGAGCAAGCACAAGCAGGGGGAGCGGCAGGCAGAGGCAGAGGGAAAAGCAGGCTCCCTGCTGAGCAAGGAGCCCGATACGGGACTTGATCACAGGACCCTGGGATCATGACCTGAGCCAAAGGCAGACGCTTAACTGACTGAGCCACTCAGGCATCCCATGAAACTTTTTTTTTTTAAAGATTTCTTTTTTTTTTTTTTTTAAAGATTTTATTTATTTATTGGAGACAGAGAGAATGAGAGACAGAGAGCATGAGAAGGAGGAGGGTCAGAGGGAGAAGCAGACTCCCTGCCGAGCAGGGAGCCCGATGCGGGACTCGATCCCGGGACTCCAGGATCATGACCTGAGCCGAAGGCAGTCGCTTAACCAACTGAGCCACCCAGGCGCCCCAAAGATTTCCTTATTTTAGAGAGAGAGCGGGCATGGGGGAGCGGCAGAGGGAGAGAGAGAATCCTGAAGCAGACTCCCGGCTGAGTGTGGAGCCCGACACAGTGCTCGATCCCAGGACCCTGAGATCACGACCTGAGCCAAAATCAAGAGTCCGCCGCTTAACCCACTGAGCCACCCAGGTGCCACCCCGCTGAAACTTTTATTTCTAATATATTGTCAGTAGATTCTCTTGCACATTCTATGTTAATAATTATCTGCAAATGACACTTTTCTTTTCCCTTCCAATATTTACATATATTTTTCTTTTCTCCCCCATGCTTTGGCTAGTTCCTCAAGGACAATGTTGAAGAGTGGCAGTGACCCTGAGCATCATCTTGTTCCTCACCTGAATGGGTTTCTAATCCCTTGCCTTTGGTTATAACATTTGCTGCAGTTTCTAGTATAGCTTCTTTGTCGGCCTAAGAAAGTTTCCTCATAGGCCTGGTTTGCTGAGAGCTTCCTTCCTCCTCCCTCCATCCCTTCTTCCTTCTCTCCCTCCAGAAATGATGTTGGACTTGATCATATGACATTTTTACATGGATTGAGATTGTGTCAGGTTTTGCCTGTTTAGAAAGTCAATGTCATGAACTATATTGAGCCATCTTTGCTTTCCCAGGGAAGATCCCAGCAAGGTCATGATATGTTGTTTTTTTAATGCTGCTGAACTTGCTTTGCCAATGGTTTTGCTTGTTTGTTTTTGGTGTCTACTTTCAAATGCTAAACCTATAATTTCTTGCCTGCTCTGCCCTTGTCTTGTTGACACTGGATCATGCTAGCTTGTGGGCTCCCTCCCCCCTAGTCACTGTCAGAGTTTATATAAGCTTTGGATAACCCTTCCCTTGAAGTTTTAGTAGAAACTGTTTTTACAGTTAAAGGGGCCCCTTACCCATTTTTGAGGTAGAATGTTAGGTTTCTTTTCTGTCTCTTTTAGGACATGTTTTTGGTTTTTTGTTTTTTTTTTCTTTTTTCCCCCTCTTCTTGAGTTAGTTTGTTAATTTATATGGTCTCACAGAATCATCCCTTTTATATAGATTTTTCAAATTGATACAACATTTATGCCTTAGTATTTTAGGATTTTCAGAATCCTTTTTATATCTCTGTGTTCCCTTTACCCTATAGTCTCTGTTTTTATCTATTAATTCCTTCCTCCTACTTCCCTTGGGTTTATTTTGTTGTCTTTTAAATATCAGAACTTATTTAGAATTTCTCTTTTTTGTTCCCAACTGTTTTATTTCACCTACTTTTTACTAAATGTAAACTTTTTGTTGAAGTATAACACAGAAAAGTGTACCAATCACAAGCTGTATACCTTCTCTTATAAAGTGAGCATGTGCATGAAACCAGCACCCAGATCGAGAGAGGGAACAATGGGGCCCCTGGGTGGCTCTTTCCGTTAAGCTTCTGACTCTCAATTTCAGCTCAGGTCCTGATCTCAGGGTCGTGAGATCGAGCCCTGTGTCCAGCTCCGTGGAGCCTGCTTAAGGTTCTCTCCCTCTGCCCCCACTCTCCCCCGCTTGGGCTCTCTCTTGCTTAAAAAAAAAGAAGAAAAAAGAACATTGCCAGGACCCCTCAGGCCCCCTTTCCAACCACAGCGCCGTCCCTAGGTGGCAGTTTTCCTGACTTCTAACTTGTAAGTTAGTTTTGCCATCTTTTGACCTTCCTGTAAGTGGAATCCTACAGTCTGTATGTAGTGTCTGCAGAAGGCCTCTTCCATCATGATGTGGGTCCATGAGCCAGGGGGACAAAGCACCCCTGAAGACCTGAGCTCGCTGTGTGTGTGGGGGGGGGACTCCTGAGACTGAAGTAGCAGGGGGCTAGGAAGGGCAGGACAACACCTATTCTGGGTGCTCAGACCTTTCCAGCCTCCTTTCTCCTTCTTGGTTTTGTTGAAGAAAGGGGAAGTTGCCAAACAGTCAAGGAGGAAGAAGGTGAGGCACTCAGGCCCCGTGGCTCCTGCCATGGAGAGCCTGACTGTGAAATGGAGCTTGGTCACCCCACCACTGGGGGACTGGGCATGCACTCACTTAGCAAGCTCCCAGTGCATGGATCCTCTTAGCAAAAGAATGAGAAGCTTTGAAGCGTGGCCATTTTCTGCTTGTTCTGTGGGTGGGAACCCAGACCTTCCTTGTGTCCCGGGGCTTCCGCGTGGAGAAGGCGGGGCAGTGGGTGTGGCCTTGGAACTGCAGCGTCTCTTCCTTTCTTGTACTTTTCCTTCTGCACATCCCGAGCTGCCTTTCTCTGACTGCCCTTTCTACCTTTCCCTCTTGTCCTCTTCCGCGCTCTCTTCTGCATCCTTTCCTCCCGCCGCGTTTTCTATGCTCGGCCGTCCCGGCATTTCCTTCCCGCCAGCCCACGGGGCAGTGAATGACTCTCCCCGTCCTCTCTCCCTTTGCCTCTGGCAGGAGATGGGCTGGTGATGAAGATCAAGCCAGAGAAGCCAGAGTGGATGCTGCAGACGCTGGTGCCACAGGCCGAGCTTTCCGAGAAGGATAAGGAAAACATCTTCCAGCAACATCGGGGCCTCCCGCCATGCCAGACCATGGGGAAGCCTCGGGCCTTGGGACAGGAGGAGACTGGGGGTCCAAGGTGGGCCCCTCCCACTGAGCAGGCTGGGGGGCTGGCAGGCCGGGCTCTTTCTGCCGGCGAGGGTCACTTTGTGTGCCTGGACTGCGGGAAGAGGTTCAGCTGGTGGTCGTCCTTGAAGATCCACCAGCGCACGCACACCGGGGAGAAGCCGTACCTGTGCGGCAAGTGCGGCAAGAGCTTCAGCCAGAAGCCCAACCTGGCGCGTCACCAGCGGCACCACACGGGCGAGCGGCCCTTCTGCTGCCCCGAGTGCGCGCGGCGCTTTAGCCAGAAGCAGCACCTGCTCAAGCACCAGAAGACCCACTCGCGGCCCGCCACCCACTCGTGCCCCGAGTGCGCGCGCTGCTTCCGCCACCAGGTGGGCCTCCGCATCCACCAGCGCGCGCACGCCCGGGACCGCCAGGGCGCCCGCCCCGGGCTGCAGGAGTTGCTGCGGGCCGCCGCCGCCCGCCGGGGCTGTCGCCTGCGGCCCGGGCCGCCGCGGGGCCGCCCCGAGTGGGCCTGGCTGGGGCTTTGCCAGGGCTGGTGGCGCCAGGCGGGGGCCCGGGCCGCAGTCGCCGCCGCCGCCGCGGGGCCGGGCGAGCAGCGCCAGTTCATCTGCAACGAGTGCGGCAAGAGCTTCACGTGGTGGTCGTCCCTGAACATCCACCAGCGCATCCACACGGGCGAGCGGCCCTACCCGTGCCCCGAGTGCGGCCGCCGCTTCAGCCAGAAGCCCAACCTGACGCGGCACCTGCGCAACCACACGGGCGAGCGGCCGCACCCCTGCCTGCACTGCGGCCGCAGCTTCCGCCAGAAGCAGCACCTGCTCAAGCACCAGCGCACGCACCTGCCCGGCGCCCAGGCGGCGCGCTGCCCCAGCTGCGGCCAGAGCTGCCCGAGCCGCGCGGCGCTGCGGGCCCACGAGCGCGCGCACGCCGCCCCCGCCGCCGAGCCGCCGCGCCCCGGGCCCGCCGTGCGGGACGCGGCGCCGCGCTCCGAGCCGCAGGCCGAGGCGCCCCCGGGCCTGTCGGCGCCGCCGCCGCCGCCGCCGCCGCCGCCGCCGCCGCCGCCGCCGCCGCCGCCGGGGCGCGACCCCCAGCCGGCCCGGGGCCTGGGGGGCGTGCCGTGGGGCCGGGCGCGGGCCGGCCTGAGCGCGCCGGGCGAGCCCCGCCAGTTCATCTGCAACGAGTGCGGCAAGAGCTTCTCGTGGTGGTCGGCGCTCACCATCCACCAGCGCATCCACACGGGCGAGCGGCCCTACCCGTGCCCCGAGTGCGGCCGCCGCTTCAGCCAGAAGCCCAACCTGACGCGGCACCGGCGCAACCACACGGGCGAGCGGCCCTACCTGTGCTCCGCGTGTGGCCGTGGCTTCAGCCAGAAGCAGCACCTGCTTAAGCACCAGCGTGTGCACCGCGGGGCCCTGGCGCCCACCCCCAGCGCCAAGGACCAGGCTCTTTAGCGCGCCCGGACCCCAGCAGACGCGTGGTGGGGGTGGGAGGGGATGTTAGTGGGGGGTGCGCGTGGCCAGGAATGGTGGTTTTTACAACCCCTGGGGGCAGAACCCTGTGAAAGGGTGATTTCCTCAAGGCTCCGAAGGCTAGAGAACAGAATTCCAGAAGCATCCCCAAGGGGACGGTCCTAGGGTGGGCTGAGGGAGGAGGTAGGATGGAACAGATCTCACTCCAGAGCCTGGATGTGTCCGTCGGTGCCTCAGACGGGGGAACCGCAGGCCTCAGGCCCCGGGGAGGGGGCTGTCAGGGCTCTGGGAGAGGCTCCCCGGTGTGAAATGGGCCAGGGCTGGACTGATGAGCTGTAGCAGCAGCCTGTCACATGCGGGTCTCGTGGGGGACTTTTAACAGACTCACTGATAGCAAGGATGGAAGCCAGCCGTGGTGGCTGAGGAGGGGCAAGCATGGGCCCAGTGCCAAGGGCAGTGCCTGGCACTTAATGGCCGTTCAGACCTTAGGCCTGGTATGTGTGTGGGGTCAGATCGGGGTATAGAGGGGTGGCGGCAGCTGCGGTTTGGTAGCTTGGGGAGGGACCTGCAGCGGGAAAGAACCGCATGTGCTGCCCCTACTTAGCAGCCCAGGGGCGCTCCCGACGGCTGTCGTTGACCCGGGTCTTTATCAATGCCACTGTTGCCGAAGAGAAAAATGAAGGACTGACTGTCTCAAGTGGTCTCGTTGTCCTTTGTAAGCCTCCCTTTTGGAACTCCCAAGTCTGTGTGTGCTCTGGGGTATCCATTTGCCCCCAGGACCAGGACAGGGAGCTTTGGCCATGAGCCTAGCAGTTCCCCATGTCAGGTTCTTGCTGGGGGTGGAAGGCAGTATTCTCTTGCCCTATCCAAACCAATCTGGTATCTTCCCACATACCCTCCTCAACCTCTACTCCCCAGAGGTCCCTTCCAAAGTAAGGTGCTGGGGCCCTGGCGCTGACAGGAGGACCCAGGGCTCCAGTCTGGGCCTGTGGCCTTGGACGGTGTCCTCCCATAGGAGGGGAGGGAATTGCAGAGAGAGCTGTAGGGTTAGATGGCCGGGAGGTGGGAGGAAAAAGGGGGGACCGTAGCATTTTCTAGGAGGAGGAACGGTGTCTGCCTGCGTCCCAGGGGCCCGACGGCTTCTCTGAACTCAGGGAAGTGCTGCCTCCTCCAGGAGCTGCTGGATTTCACCTGGCTTCTGGTTGGTCGGTCACCACTTTCTCAGATTCTGTTGAATTCCTTTCATCTGGCAGGGGCTCTAATTGTAGCATCACAGAAAGACCTAGGGAGGTGATCCAGTTTGCCCAGGGAACACAGAGCCAGGAATGGTTAGCGCTCAGCTGAGCCGCCCACTCCTGGGCCAGGTCTTGCTTGCATCACAAACCCTGCTGTGTGAACTCTCCCACTGGGCGAGCTGTGCCTGGTGGTTGCCGCCCATGTGAGAGCTGGGCCTTCAGTCCAGCGGGGTTTTTCTAGGCCCTAGGTGCTCTCCTACCTTCCCGGAATGCCCGCCCCCTCCTGTAACTCCTCTCCCAGCCTGGCCTGCTCAGGGAGGCCCAGTGCCCTGGATCTCAGCAAAACCTACTTTACACATGGGACATTTGCTTCTTCCACTTTGCCACTTAGCAAATCCTGAGACCCAGTCAAGCAAGCCCGCCTCCTCCAGGAAGGCATCCCAGAGTACCACTCCTGCATTGGAAAGCTGCTGTCTGCAAGGATGGACCTGCCAGACCCTGGAGCCCCGTGGAATCAGGCGCCTGAGGGGTGGTGCAGGCAGCCACTGAAGATCTCAGTCAGGTGGGACTTTCTGTACGATCCAAGGTGTCCTCATCCACACATGGCCTCTGTTTAATGATCAAGCCAATCCAACAGCTGTGTTGGTAGGACTTGGGGTTAATGAGGCCTAAGCGCAGCTTTCTTCCCCATGCAAATTCATGAGAAGATTTGTTCCCTAACCCAAGGTGACTGTTCCTCACAGATGGGTTCTTTGGGTCACAGGGGGGGACAGGGCCACATCCATTAGAGCGAAGAATTACTGAGATGTACACCCCATTGGCCAGGTCAGGGGATGGCATTCACTGATTGACTAACAAGCCTACTGTGTGCCAGGCACTTGGGCTGCCATAACGAAGTACCACAGACTGGGGGCTGGAGCAACAGACGTTTATTTCTCACAGTCTGGAGGCAGGGAGTCCAAGATCAAGGTGCTGGCAGATTCGGTTGTTGGTGAGGGCCCACTTCCTGGCCTGCAGGTGACCACTACCTCCCTCTGTCCTCACATGGCTGGGGGAGGGGGGAGCGGGGAGCGTGCCCTCTGGTATCTCTTCCTCTTCTTGTAAGGACACTAATCTCATCAAGGAAGATCCCAGTCTCATAACCTCATCGAAACCTCATTGCCCCCGAAAGGACCCAGCTCTGAATGCCATCACATTGTGGGGGGGGGGGTTCAGGGCTTCAATATATGAATTTGGAGGGGACACAATTCAGCCAATAGCAGCCATGGTCCCTATCCTTGAGGAGTTCATGCACCTTCATGGGAAATCACTAATACACCATAGCTCAGTCAGCTCTTGAATAAATTGTCCCAGCCCCAGCTCCCTGACAAAAGCTTTCTTGTCCACTCTGTCATTTAGTCTCACCGTGAAGTCGGTGACCGTGGCAGGGCGGTAATGCAGGGAAGGGGGATGCTGTGGTGAGAATGGCCCACCAGGTCATATCACATCCCCACAAAGGGCAGATCCCAGGCCTCCTGTTAGCCTTCCACTGCCACAATCACCGGCTTCTCCAAGGGTGGCCTGGCATTGTCGACTTCAATTTTCATCCTCCTTCAGTGTAAAATAATAAAACTAGGCCAGGGAATGCTTAGGAAGAGGCATGTCATAAAATCAGACAAGAAGCTCAGATCTATCTTAGTGGTTTACAATCCCACATACTCGAGAGCATGCCGAGATAAAAGGGTTTCACAGGTGAACAGGAAACAACCATAAGCAGATCAAGATCTTAAAGGACTTCTATCCTGTCCACCTCCAGGTAAGTGCAGGTCTGGGGTGGGGACCCACAGCCAAGCTTCTAACGGGCCAGATGAGCTTGGTGGAGCTGGGGTTCCCGGAACTGCCTGCGTCATCCTTGTGTTCCTTTGTTAGAAGCAGGCTGGGAGCTAATAAAAATGACCTAGGAACTGGGACAATGGTGGTTTTTTGGCAAGCAACCTAAGCTTTGAGTCGGCCAGCCAGCTGGCAGCTTCCTCAGGAGGATTGGGCTTCCTGTTTGCCCAGCCCGGGCCCCGGGGAGCTGCCGGAGGGAGATGAGGCTGGGAGGCCAGTGAGCAGGTGCACGGACAGGGAGAGAGCGGGACCAGCAGGGACTTGGCAGACAGCACCTGGGAGGAGTTGGGGGGGGGGGTGCTTCTGAGACCTTTTCCTTTTATTCTTTAAGTAGTTTGGTTAAATATATATATATATCTTTGACCTTTTGACAAGAGGATAAGTGTTGGGGCCGGAAATAGTATGTTCTCACATGTCACTGCTCTTACTGGATCATGGCAGAGAAGAAAATGAATGCCATCCTATAGGTTGTCCCTTGGGTTAAAAAGGGAGTGGTGTCTCCTAGGTTACTCAGATCTGGAGGGGGTGGGGCCCTAGACAGGCACTGTCCAGGTAGAAGTTTCTGGAATGAGGAAAATGTTCTATAACTGTGCCATCCAATACCGTAGCCACCAGTCACATGCGGCTACTGAGGACTTAAAATGTGGCGTGTGAGGCTGAGGAACGGAATTTAAAATTTAATTTTAATTAATTAACTAAGCCACGTGTGGCTATTGGACAGTATAGCTCTAGGAATAATGCTCCTATTAAGAAGTAGAAATGTCGTCTCCCTCCCTGCCACCACTCAGATCTAGAAAGAGCTTTCTCTTGTTGTTGGGAGTCATGGATAGAGTCAGATAGTTATGGGGCTAAATTCTGGCTTTACCGGGTAGGCTGTGGAACCCTGTGCAGGTCACCCATGTAGAACTTGTGGTATAGCGCCTGGGACACAGCAAACACTCAATAAATAGCAGTTACCATCATTATTTTAACAAGCCCCATGTGTGGCTATGTGCACAGCATTTATACAAGTGCAAGTTTACAATGGAAAGAGAAGAACAGGGTTTTCCCCAAACAGAGCTCCATCCCATAAGGAGGAAGTCTCCACCTGTATTAAATAGGCCAGCTGCAGGTTTAAGAGCTTGGCTGAATTGACCCTAGGTCACATCTTGGGTTTTAATGTCAAGGAAAGGGAACTTTGGAGCAGATGAGACCCTGCACCTACAGCCCCACATATCCAACGGGGCGTCGGCAGTGTCTCCCAGTCCTCGATGCCGGGGCTGTGGCTTTGCTTGTCATCTTCCCTCCATGGCTAGCAGCTGTGGCTTACGGATGTGCATTCCTTCATTCACTAGAGATCGGCTGCGGGGCTAGTAGATGCTGGGGGCACTTGGGATCCAGAGATGCCGAAAACACAGCCCCTGCGTTTGAAGCTCACAACCTGGTGGGAGAACAAAGGTGTGCTAAATCCCAATTTGAAGTCAACACAAGATGTTTGGAAGGGAATATGTAGTGATCGCTGTCCAATTCGGGGAGATGGGAGGAGCGAGTCAGGGGGGAAGTGGTGGCCCAGCTGAGCAGGAAAACCCTGGGGATGCAGCCCAAAGCAGGAGGAGTTGGAGGAAGGCCAGGCTGGGATCTGCAGGAGCAGCGGCCTGGGGCTGGCGGGGGGGGGGGCGGGGGCACACAGGGTGACTGTCCATCATCTAGCACGACCCCGGCGAGTGGGAGGGATGCAGTGCAGGGCCCTGGGCAGGGCTCCGCTGAGCTGTCCACACCTCCGCCCACAAGGGGGCCACGCCTTGTGGAGTGGCGGTGAGCCTGCCATGCCCGCCACGGACCCTGCCTGTATGAAGAAGCATGGCTTCGTTTGCAGAAGTTCTCCCCATCTCCATTCTGTAGTGTTCACCACAGCACATGAGAACCGTGGCGGGGGTGGGGGGGAATGTGTGTGTGCGTGTGGGGGGGTGCATGTGTACGAAACCAGAGAGATGAAGTGACTCAGCAGAACTCATTCATTGGCAGAGCAAAGAACGAAGGCCTCCGGGAGCCCTGGGCCCTCGGCATCGCCCACTGAGATGGGGTGGGTTTTAGGGGGTGTCGCCTCCTTCCCACACCTGTCCCCCAGCTGTGTGCCTTGCCACTTTGGCACAGTTTACTTAGAAAATGCTGCTAAAAATATGGGTGACATCCTCGGGTACATTGTTGGTTTTGCTTTTGAAAAACCTGGTCATTGCCTAAGTGTCCCCATTTCTCCTATAGCCTGTAGAAGGGATGGAGGCCCGTGGCTCTGGCAGCTGACAACTTTTGCAACAGGAGCTGGACAGGTGGGAGGTGTGGCTGTTCTCTGAGCAAAGCTCCAGCCCCTGGCCATCAGTGGTTAGGGGGTCCTTTTGGCAATGTCATGGGAACATCTGTCCTGATGGATTCATTTCTTTTGGCTTCCCAGAATTCCCTCCCTGGTGCCTCTATTTTAAGTGCCAGTCTCCTTGGGATGTCTAGCTCAGGAAGCCCCACTTAGCTCGATGCGCTGCTACGGGAGCAGCATGGATGGGGTGGGGAGTGGGGTGGGTCCTGGAGAGGCTGAGAGGGCCAGAGGTGGACCTGCTGGGATGGACTGGTCCACAGAGCGGGATGTGATAGCAGGCAGGGCTGATCTTCAGGTCTGGTGTTGAGACTAAGAGACTGAGTGTATTTCCAGTTGGGCCCCACCTGGAATGGTACACTGCCCAGGAGGGCACACTGAACACCTGCCGAGTGACGGGAGCCACCTCATGGGGCCAGGAGGCTTGCGTCTCCTAGAGCCCCTCCTCAGGGATGGCGCCGCCCCAGCAGCCACATCCACCATCTGTTGTAAGGAGCTCTGCCTGGGCCCACCTGGCAGCTACCAGGGGCCACAGAGAAAAAGGCTACTTGATATTCCTCTAGCACTTTTCACTTAAAAAAAAAAATCACTTTCCCTTTTGGCCTCAGTTTCTTTATCTAAGAAGTGTAAATTCTGAGGCACTTTTTTACCCTGGACATGATTATTTCCAGTCCCAATCATCACACCCTGTTTCTGTTTGGGGGTCTAGGTACCAGAATGGTGTCGGGGAGAGTGAGCCGGCTGGTGGGCCTGCCTTCCCATCTGGCTTTGGCCACTTAGGGCTGCGGGTCTCCGGGGAAGCTGCTCCGTGTTTCAATTTTATTTTATTTTCCCATCTATAAAATAGGATAATGATACCTGTACAACCTAGATGGCACACGGTTATTGGAAGGCTCCCACGAGATAATATATGGGAAAAAGCTTTGTAAAAAGACAAGTAATGTATAGGTAAGGGGTATTATTATTGAAGGACAGTTGAAAGCTGGAATTCAGCCCAGCCCTGTCCACGGGGGTGTGATAGGTGTTATAGGTGGCTCTTTTATGGGATATCTTTTCTGGGGTATCTTTGGCTTGACCGGAATGGGTCCAGTTCGGAGGAGGCGGGGACAGTTGGGGTGTCACTTCTTCCCTGTCCCCTGCCGTCCTGGGGGCATAAACCGGGCCAGAGGGTGGGGGTGGGGGGGTGGGAGGCTTTCGCAACACGGTTAGTTCAGGCAGCTCTGATTCTGCCCCTTCGCTGGCTGTCTCGCACCCATGACACCCCGCTCAGAGAGGCCCCGCAGCAGGGGCTCCGGCCTTCCCCCGCTGCTCTCTCTCGCAAGGAAAGGCTTGCCGCCTGCGCCCCCACACCCTGCTTCTGGGGGCAGTCCGTGGGCCTGGCCGGGGTAGCGCGGCTTTAGGATGAGGGAGGGGAGGAAGAGGCTCTGACTGCCTGCTGGGGGCCCCTGACGATCCTGAAACGGGAATGGCTGAGGCCGGGGGCCGGGGAGCTTGGCGGTGTCCCGCCCGGCGGGGCGTTCTGCTCGCGAGCCGGCTCCCGCCCGATTCCCTCGCCTGCCCGGGAGGGCGCAGCGCTCACAGCCCTCCGTTTTCCGCCAGCCAGGTCGTCGGCGAGTTAGACCTCCCAGCCTCACGGGGCTGCTGTGCGGCTGCGGCGACGCTGGTGACTGCGGCGCTGCGGCGGAGACGGAGGGGCTCGGGAGGCGGCGCCACGTGAGTCCGGGGCCGCCGGGGCTGGGGCCGCGGCGGGAGATTACCGTATTTATCGAGGCCGGTGCCGGACCCTTGGGGGCGGGTCACTGCGGGCGCGCTACCGTATTTGCCGGGAGCCGCGCAGACCCTTTCTCGGAGCGGGGAGCGCCGCGACTTAATTACGTATTTACCCAGGGTTGCGCGGTCCTCCCGCGGGTGCTGCGGAAGCTGGGGGTGGGTTGCGTCCGCGCCCCGAGAGAGCCGGGGCTTGCAGCCGGGTGGGGTGGGTTGCGGCATCAGGGTGCGAGGCCTACGTATTTTCGTGGGGGCGAGGTTGCGGCGCAGAGTTTACCATATTTCTCCAGGGTCGCTCCGGCCGCGGGAGTTTGCACGGTTGTGTGCGGAGGTCGGGTGGGTGGGGTCAGCTGTTTTGATTCATGAAGCTATTTCATAAAAACAGCGGTGCGGGAGGCTGGCCGTCTTTATGGGGGCAAGGGAGAAGGGGCGCGGGAGGCGCTGCGGGAGAGTTACCGTATTTGCGCTGGGCAGCGCAGACTCTAGAGGAAAGAGCCACTGCTGGAGACCGGAGGAACGGGGGCGCAGCCTGGGCTGTGAGTGCGGGAGGGGATGGAGGAACTTGGGGGAGAAAAGGGGGCCGTTGCTTTAGACCTTCTCCGTAGTCGGGGCCTTAGTCAGGGATATAGCTGGAGAGAGCGGGGAGGCCGCCCAGAGACAAGGCCAGGCTGAGATTGGCCAAGGGACAGTGATGGTCTGTCTTTGCAAATGTCAGTGCAGCTGGCTGGGGAAAGCCTCGTGGGTGGGGTCTATTGCAAGTAGTACTTGCCCCTTCTCCAGGGTGGCTGTGTGTCCCACCCTGGCCTGAGGGGAGGGGGGAGACAAAAGGGGTATCTCGGAGATCCCACTCTGCAGATAGGTCGACTGAGGTTGTAGTAAGCACTGCATGGAGGTCTAGGTCCCTGATGGGGATGGAGGACTGCAGGGGAGTGCCCCCTCAGCCGACTCTGGAGCAGGCCCCAGTGCTCTGCAGCAGGAGGGGCCCTAGGTTTTTTGGGGGGCAAGGAGGTGGGGGCAGCAGACAGTGCCCTCCAGGAGCAGTGGTGCTTTGGGTGTCTCTAACTCTGGTGGTCAGGATAGCGGTGGTGGTCTTGTGTGTGTATGTGTGTGTATGTGGGTACGTGTGTGTGTATGTGTGTACGTGTGTGTACGTGTGTGTGTGTGTGTGTGTATTTTGAGGGGAATTTAGTTGATGAGCAGCTGGTACACTGAGAAGAGCTTTTGCCAGTGAGTCAGGAAACTTCGGGCCTAGTCCTGGCTCACCTTGTGTGACCTTGGGCAAGTAAGCTGACCTCAGTTACCCCATCTATAAAGCAGGGCTCAGTAAGGCCTGCTCCTTCCCCGGGGTTGCTGTGAGGACAATGGGAAACAATTTAAGAGGAACGCAGTGCCCTGGGGGAGAGGATCCTCAGCAGAACCAGCATGAATGGGATGGAGCTGAACTTGGGGGTGTTTGTGGAGCATTGGGCCAGGCTTTGGTATCTTGGGGATGCCAAGAGGAATCAAGCTGAGACCAGCTCCTGGGAGCTCACACTCTGTTTCAGGGATTTGCAAACCTTTTACGGGCATGCCTCATTCTGATAAAGAGCTGCTGCTTTAATGTTTAATTGAGATTGCTTTAGAGTGTGCAGGGTTTTGTTTTGTTTTTTCTTTTAAGCTTTTCAAAAATATCTGTGAACCACCAGGTGACCCCACCCTTCCCTCCAGATTGGGATGCACCCCCGTCCTTGAGATTCTGGTTGGAGAGATAAGACCTATCCAGGGGCAGGCTAACTTAAATACTAGAAGCCCCTGAATATTACCTATCGTCATTTATTCAATGCTTTGTGTGGCAGGCACAGTGCTTGGTGTTGGGAATAGGAGGAGACAGCTCTGTCCTTAAGGCAGGCACAGGGCCAGGAGACTGAGGTGGCGCGACTGACCTGCCATGTGATGACTGAGGGTCGTAGGATTGGGCCATAGGGCTCAGGAGGGGCTGGACGGCTCAGGGAAGGCTTTCGCGAGGAGGCAGCCCTTGAGAAAGGCCTTAAGGAGGGGCAGGCTGTGATTAAGGGGTAGAGGAGAAAGAAGGGCATTCCAGCAGGGAAACACTGGCTTGAACAAGACTGCAGAGGGGCAGATGCTGAAGCCGTGGGGAGCCAGGGCAATGTCCTCCCTGCGGTTGGGGGCCGGCTGATCCTTGGATGCGCCCCCCTTCTGACTCCTCTCTCTGCTTCTGCCTCCCCAGGGGCTGGTGACTGCGGCTGGAAGTGCCCATGACAGAGCTGGCGTCCCCGGGGGGCGGGTCCCCTGCGGGGGACGGGGAGGAGGGTCTGGGGGACGAGCGAGGCCTGGTCATCCACCACCCCGCGGAGGAGCAGCCTCACCGCTGCCCACTGTGCGGCCAGACCTTCTCGCAGCAGCCCAGCCTGGTGCGGCACCAGAAGGCGCACGCCGGGGTGGGCCGCGCGGCCGCCTTCGTGTGCCCCGAGTGCGGCAAGGCCTTCAGCGTCAAGCACAACCTCGAGGTGCACCAGCGCACCCACACCGGCGAGCGGCCCTTCGCCTGCCCGGAGTGCGGGCGCTGCTTCAGCCTCAAGCAGAACCTGCTCACGCACCAGCGCATCCACAGCGGCGAGAAGCCGCACCAGTGCGCGCAGTGCGGCCGCTGCTTCCGCGAGCCGCGCTTCCTGCTCAACCACCAGCGCACGCACGCGCGCATGCCCGCGCCGCACCCGCGCCGCCCCGGCGTGTTCGGGGAGCGGCGGCCCTACTTCTGCGCCCGCTGCGGCAAGAGCTTCGCGCGCGAGGGCTCGCTCAAGGCCCACCAGCGCAGCCACGGCCACGGGCCCGACGGCCCGGCGGCCCATTTAGGCCGCGTGCTCTGAGGCGCGCCGGGCCTGCCGCCGCCTCTGCCCCGGCCCGGGGCCGCGTCCATGACCCCCGGAGACGGAGACGGCGCTGGGCTGCGGCCCCCGCTCTGGATGCGATCCCTGGAGACGCGGAGGGCTGGCTTGGGGTCTTGAAGGAGTGGGCCGCCGCCCGGCTTGGGACGCCTCCTTCCGTGTCTCCGCCCTCTGGCTGGCCGCCCACAGCTGCTCCGGGCCCCTGCGTTGGTTTTCCTCCCCGGGCTCACCCGGCCTAGAGTAGGTGAGACCCAAGGGCCAGCCGGAGCCCCTCTCAGGCCTGGGCAGGGGTTGGGGAGGGGACAGGCAGGGGAGGAGGGGTGCCCTGAGCTCTGGGTCTATGACTCGCTTCTTACTAGATCTTCATTCCCACAATGTCAGAGTTGAAAGCCACCTGGACAGGGCCACTCTCCGTAATGCCCAGGCCGCCCTCAGCCGCCAAGCTCTCCTGGCTCTTAACACTTCTGGTGTACTTTAGAAGTCATTTCACTTCATGACAGTCTCTTCACCTGTGAATTGCATTTAACATTGGACTCCTCCCTGGGATATTGGGAGGATTGTAGTTAAACATTACCAGATAAGAGAGGGTGACTTCACTGGCCCAGAAACATCTACTGAGCACCCCGGTGTGTCGTGCACAGTGCGGTGCTCTTGGGAGGAGGGACAGACACAAAACCTTGGGCGGGGGGCACTTGGTACCTCCCCAGGGGATGCAGGCTATCCTAAGGGACAGACTAGAACGTGCGCTGGGAGGTGGGGGTAGGGGATTGGTGTCCCCAAGGCAGTCTGATGGCTTGAACTGCGTTCTGGGGATGAATAGAAGCGCTCCAGGGAGAGTGAAGGTGCAAGGTCTCTGAGGCAGGAGTTAGATAGAGGAGGCTCAGGTCTGTCCTACAAAAGACTTTGTGGCCAGGGAGAGAGGACACCAAGATGTTTAATGAGGAGAGCATGGTGATCTCAGACATGCGGCTCAATGAGAAATGGAAGCATTGTGAGGACAGGTCAAAGTGGGATGAGCAGGAACCTCAAGGGTTGTGGGGTCATCTGGGCAAGAGAAAATGAGGCCCCTGGCTAAGGGGCTTGACCAAGGCGAGAGCCAGGACTGGCCCCCAGGCCCCTGATTCCACGTTGGTACTCCAAAGCACAGGCTTCTTCAGCCATTTAGCAGATGAAGAAACTGAGGCTCACCCAAGCTTGCTCCAAATCTCACTTAGTACTTAGTGGTGAACAGTACAAGCCTGGCCCCCTACCACACTGCCTGTGAGGGAGGCTCTTACTGGTGGGAGCATGGATGTGGGAGGATGTGGGATGTCAAGGATGGATGTCACATGGATGTCAAGGATGTGGGAATGTGACTGGAGACCAGGTGGTAGGATCCTGGGCAGGGGTACCCCTGGGTGGTGTGGGGGCCTGGCGGCGGGCATGACATCCACAGTAGTGGATTGGGAGGAAGGGAGTTGGGGGCTTGGAGGCGACCTGCACTTACAGAGCCCTTGCTCTGTGCCCAGCCTGTGCCACCACGTTGCTAGGTGCTGGAGACCTGTCCCCGCCCTCTGCCCCTCCTTAGAGCTTTGGGGCTCCGTGGGGGTCGGTGGCCCTCTGCTTGCCACTAGGTGGCTGCAGCAATGTGGCCGCTGCTCTGTGGACGAGTACCCAGTGGCAGAGATGATGAGATTAACTGGGACCTGGGACATCTGGAGCTCGAATGCCCTGAACTCAAGTTGTCTCAGTGGTAAATGGGATCGATAATCCTGGAGTGCTTGGTAGGGGGCTAAGAGGACTGGCTCAGAGCTTCAGACAAGTGCAGGGTGGCCCAGCTTACCGCTCCCGCCTAGCCACCGGGAGGGGGGGTGGTGAGGAGGGGCTGGGCAGGGCCATGTCAGAGCCCCAGACCTGACCCTGGTCTCTTTGTCTCCATGAACAGATGTGGAGTGGGCAGGCCTTCTGGGCGGTGTGTCAGGCACATCTGGGCACAGAGCCCAGGAATGGGGCCCCGTGGGGGCCTGCCCACTGGCATGAGGATACGTCCCCTAAGAAGACCTACCTCGGGAGGTGCCCTGCAGAGGGGACCCGTGCAGCCTGGAATTGGAGGCGGCTTCTGTGCCCTGGTGGAAGAACTCCCCAAACCCGATGGGAGTGACAGCTGGAGAAGAGCTCGTCCTGGCTGCCCGGCCACAGTCCACTCTCCTGTGGCCGCAGGGACAGTGCCTGCGTGGAGAGCCGGCTTCTCTGCACCTGCCTGGCTCACCGGAGACAGGGAGTAACTGGCCTAAGAGAACACAGCGAGTCGGTGGCAGACCAGGCTCCAGAGGCAAAGCCTTGCCCCAGGGGTGACCCATACCTGCAGCAGGCTTCGCTCTCAGAGCGATGGTTCTTAATGCGTGGGGGGCATGAAGCCCTTTGAAAATCTCACAGACGTTATGAACCTTCTCACCAGGAAAACACGCATACTCATGTAGACATGAGAATCTACAAGCAAGTTCAGAGCTCTCGGACCTAACCTGTCACTCCTTCCTCACCTGGCATAGATCCTGGGCCACCATACAAGTAGCATTTCTCCCTCCCCTGGCTGAACTTCCTTCCCTCGTTCAGGAATAAAGGATTCTGAGGAGGGGACCCTTCCAGTCACTCTCTTCCCCCAGGCCTGACAGTGCATCGGGCTTCTGGAACCTTTCCTCCCTTCCGCGGACATTGCTGGAGGCTCCCTGGGCTGGGTTTGCTCTTCTCTGGTTCGGGGCTGCTTTGCTCTGGCTACTTGGCTGCTGGTTTTCACCACGCAGCCTGGACTCCGATTTCACCGTGGAGGTGAGGGGAAAGCTGGACCTTCCGTGGATGTGGGGTGAGCATGAGCCTGGGCCCAGTCTACCTGGGGGAGGGATCCTGCTTCCAGCAGCCAAGTGTAGCAGGGCTGTCTCCTGCCAGACCAGGATTCAGCCGCAGCCGGGCATGGTGTGGGGAAAGCTGGGGAGGAAGACCGAGCCTCGCTCCTGGGGCCTGCCAGTGTTCCGTGCGTGGACAGTGGGAGCAGGTTGGCCTGGGGCTCACTGGCCTCCTCAGAATGAACCACTCAATCTGAAAAGGTGTGGCCGAGTAGGGCTGGGATGGGTTTTTGATGACAACCCAGACGTCATGTTGCAGGTTATATTTAGTGAAACCCTTGGGGGTGGGGAGAGGCCTATAGACATGGGGTTTAGATCAAAGCCCAGCAATGTGAGTCGTGGGGGGCACAGTGGAGTTTGTTTAGGTGGGAGGTCCCAGGGCCAAGCTGGGGTTTGGTTAGGGTTGTCGGGAGGCCTCCCGGCTCCCAGCCCGGGACCTTGCTGGTCCTGTCTCCCATGCGGTTTGGTACAGAGGTTCTTATGGGCTGTCTGCCATCTGCCTCGTCCTGGAATACCAAACCGCTCTGGGGGAGATCAGAGGAAGAGGAACAATCTGCACTCTAGAAGCTGTCACGTGCTCTGATCCTTGGCCTGCCTGGAGGGAGCCTCGCAGATGCACCCCTTCTCCGTGGTTGTCCTCTCATCTCCTCCCTTCCCTGTAACCGTGTGGTCCACATCCACTGTTGCCTTCTCTGTCTTCCCTTGAATTGCTCCGAAATGTGGCCCTCCCCTGCCCTGCCGAGCTCTCTTCTCTGCCAGGCCCTCCATCCTCGTCCTCCGAACAGTCCCTGTGTTACCATGCCAACTCACCCTTGGGTAGCACGTGCAGCCTTGTACTTGGGTTTTCTGTGCACGTGTGCATGTGTGTGTGTTGAGTCTCCAGCTAGACTGTGAGCTCCCTGAGGGCAAGGGATGTGCTGTGTCTTCTTGAACCCGAACAGGGTCCAGCACAGGGCTGGGCTCATAACACTCAGGAATACTTGTCGAATAGCTGATGGGTCAAGTGCTGGAGGCTGTGGGGTGACTGGTGGTGAGGAGGAGAGGGCCTGTGAGTTCACACGTGGGTGCATTTGCCTGGGCCATGAGCTGGCTCGCCTGGGGCAGGAATGGCTGTAGGAACCCTCAGGCAGTGGGACAGGAGGGAACCCCCCACATGGCTACGCAGGAGTGCGTGGGGATGGTGTCCACGCTGGATATTTCCGTTGGTCACTGAGACCTGCCGGGACTGACCAAGTGGAATAAATGTTCTCTCGACATCAGCTGGAGTGAGCTGTGGTTCATTTGGGGCTCAGCCGGGAGCAGGGCGGTGGCTTCTAGCTCTGCCTCCATCCTGTCTCGAGGAGTTATGTTCCGTGGTTGCCAAAGGCTGTGGAAAGCATAGCTCAGAAGGCACAGCCTCACAACAATGAATAGCTTAGCTGCTGCCCTATCCCCCCCCCCCCCCCAGTCTAGATCATGACTGCTGTTTGGATTTGGGTAATGGATACTGGGGCCCCTTCAAGTAGCCTCAGCTGCTTGCTCAGCTGAGAGTGAGGCCGGATCTGCTGAGAAGCTGTGTGGTGATCCCCATCACCCACTGAGAGGTGGGCTGCTGGGGGTGCTCCAGCTGAAGACCATCCGTGCTCCAGTGCCCCCCGCCGCCAGGGGCTTGGCCAGCCGTGAGCTTAGTCTCCTTATCCGTGACTGTCGTGCTCCTCCTACCTCAGAGTTGTGAGAGTCGAATCAGAATGTGCATAAACTCTGCACATTCTGGGGAGAATGTGGAGGCAGGGGTTTGCTGTCATTGTCCTCAGGCTGAAGGTGGACCTGGCAGCAGACCCCTTGGTTTCACAGCCCAGGTGTCTTCTGGAGCAGAAGGTCCTGGAGGGCAGAGTTATGTCAGGTCAGGTCTGCCACCGGGTGGCCGAGACGGGGGTGAGTGATATCCCTCCTGCTGTCGGTGAGGCGCTGGCCCTGATCATGGCCAAGGCTCACCCCAGAACCTTGCTTCTGTGTCCTATTTTTTTTTTTAAGGTTTATTTATTTGAGAGAGAGAGTGTGAGGGGAGGGGCAGCGAGAGAGAGAGAATCTCAAGCAGACTCCCTGCTGCGTGTGGAGCTGGCATCACCCAACCCTGAGATCACGACCTGAGCCGAAATGAAGAGTCAGGGGCGCCAGGGTGGCTCAGTCAGTTAGGCGTCTGCCCTCAGCTCAGGTCATGATCCCAGGGTCCTGGGATCGAGCCCTGCGTTGGTCTCCCTCTCCTCCCTGCTCATGCTCTCCCTTGCTATCTCTGTCTCTCTCTCAAATAAATAAATAAAATCTTAAAAAAAAAAGAAAAGGAAAAGAAATCAAGAGTCAGGGGCGCCTGAGTGGCTCAGTCGGTTAAGCGTCTGCCTTCGGCTCAGGTCATGATCCCAGGGTCCCGGGATCGAGTCCCACATCGGGCTCCCTGCTCGGCGGGGAGCCTGCCTCTCCCTCTCTCTCTGCCTGCCACTCTGCCTACTTGTGTTCTCGCTCTGTCAAATAAATAAATAAATTAAAAAAAAAAGAAAAAGAAATCAAGAGTCAGACGCTCAGCTGACTGAGCCACCCAGGTGCACCTGTGTCCTACTCTTTGAGTCAGATTTGGGGCTGCATCAATTGTTTTTATCAGCCAAGGAAGGTCCTGGGGGGACTTTGGAACCTGGGTCTATCGGGGGCGAATCAGGCAGGACTCTTGTTCAACTCAAATTGGCTAATGCCACAATGGGGAAGTGTGGGCTCGTGGGGCAGCTGTGCAGTGACTCGATGGTGACAGCTGGGACTCCAGCCCGTCTTTGGCTCTGGCCTCCCTCTTGGGGGCTGCCTCCTCAGCTCGCACACATGGCAGGAAGAAGCCCTCGGCCTGCTGAGGCTCGGTCCTCCCCTAAAGGTCCGAGCCAGTTGGTGGAGGGCAGCTATTGGAATGGGCAGGGCTGGCCCACACTGCCGCCGAGGGGTCAGCCCCGCCTGGAGCCCGTGGTCTGCCAGTGAGTGAAGGGACGGTTCACCAGGGGACGACCAGAAGGAGAAGGCAGTGAGTGGGGTCCAGGTGGGTAGACCGACGCTCATGCTCCCCTCCGTCGGAGCCCCTTCCGAACATGGCCAAGCCTCAATGTCCTCACGGTAATGATGCCCAAGTGAGAGGAAATCTACCACGGATGCTGCTGGTGCTTCGCCAGATGCCCTTTCCAAACTGTTGTGAGTGTTGGCTGCTAATGGTTCACAGCCGGTCGCCTGTGGGGTCTGCCCCAGCCAACCCCACTGAGGCTGACGTGGGAAGGGGGGCCAGCTCTGAAGCGCAGCCTGGGCTCAGAACTCCCCGGGGGATCAGAGGACACCAGTTTCCAGCCAAGACCCCATCACTGGCTCTTTTCCCCACCCCATCTTTCTTCCCACTCCCCTTCTCCAGAGAGCACTTCGCAAGAGTACTTATTCCCCTTGGATGGAATCCTTGTCTCAGGCTCTGCTTCTAGGAAGATCCCAGACTAAGGAAATGTCTTGACTACAGGCTTAAAGCACTTTGCACATGCAAGAGATCATGACAAGTATCTTTATTCAGTTCTGTGTAGGGCCAGTTACCCATAGGTTTTTAGTGAAGAACTGCCAGTAGATGAATAGTTTGGGGTGGCCATCTCCTTCGTGAGGGTCCAGGCCAGAGGCCCGAGGGCTGGTGTGGCAGTTCCTCACCAGCTGCTCTAAGGCCCCTCCCAATTGGAGACAAGGCCCAAGAATCTAGATCAAGGGTCAAGGGTTGGGTTCTAGTATAGCTGTGTGGCTTTGACCGAGATTCTTACCATTTTTAAATTTTTTTTTAAAAGATTTGTTTATTTATTTGAGAAAGAGAGTGAGCAGGAGCGAGCCAGGGGAGGGAAAGAGGGAGAAAGAGAGAGAGAGAATGTGGAGCAGACTCCCCGCTGAGCACGGAGCCTGAGATCGTGACCTGAGCCAAAACCAAGAGTTGGATGCTCAACCCACTGAGCCACCCAGGCCTCCCAAGATCCTTACCATTTTGAACCGCAGTTAGTTCTGATCCATGAAATGAGCCGTGTAGACGAGCCACCCCCTGAAGTTTCTTTTAGGGTGGAAGTTCCATAGTCGCTTCCTGACTGCTTGTGTGGGCTCTTTGGGGTTGTAAGGAGCAGAGACCACTCTTTGTTGCAAGGCCTCATGAGATGAGAGGGAGGCCCTGTAGCTGTGTCCCTCAGGAGGGCATTCCTCCTCCTTGGTCCCAACACTGTTCCTATGACTCAGCCTTGCTCCTTCCTACGGCTGTCACCTTTCTCTACTCCGGAGCAGATGCTTGCAGAACTAGAACTAATTTTTTTTTTCTTTAGGCAAGATGACTGCAGTTTCTAGCGGCAGAGACAGAAAGACACCTTGGAGCAGACCTTTGTTTCTGGAAGGTCATCGTTTAAACCCATGTAAAACAAATTCTCACTGCTCATCCCAAACTAGCCTGGGACTTGGGCAGCGTTTCAAATGCAGATGATTCAAGACAGCATGTTAGCTGTTTTTTATTTTATTTTAATTTTATTTTTTTAAGATTTATTTATTTGAGAAAGAGCGAGCGTGTGCTGAGTCTGGAGCATGATCTCACTACCCTGAGATCATGACCTGAGAGTCGGATGCTCAATAGCCTGAGTCACCCAGGCACCCCTAATAATAATAATAATTTTTAAAAGGCTACTGTTGGGGGCGCCTGGGTGGCTCAGATGGTTAAGCGTCTGCCTTCGGCTCAGGTCATGATCCCAGGGTCCTGGGATCGAGTCCCGCATCGGGCTCTCTGCTCCTTGGGAGCCTGCTTCTCCCTCTGCCTCTCTCTCTCTCTCTCTGTCTCTCATCAATAAATAAATAAAATCTTAAAAAAAAAATAAATAAAAGGCTACTGTTGGGCAGAGCTCCTGGGGATAGGGGCCTCTGAAATGTGGGAAGGACCTGAAATTCTTTCATTCGTGAGGGGCCGAGCTGGTCCTTCTCCTGGCACGTGGAAACCTGCTAGGGACAAGCAGTGCCCCCGACAGTGGGTTTAAAGCATGTGGGTTCAAGAGAGCCTTTGTTTCTAGGAACAGTGGGAACTGGGTCCGTGTGTGGGGCCAGGGGCGCTCTGGAGGTGGGTGGCATGGGGGTGCACAGGGGGTCCTGGGAGGTGAGAAACACAGGCTGAGGGACAGAGGGGACAGGCAGCCTCCTCCACGGGTGAGCACTCCCAGAAATCCCTGGCAGTATGTGTGGCGTGGGGCTTCTGGAGGAAGAAGGGACCATACAGAGTTCTTGGGATTGGGGAGGGCTGGGTCTTGATGTGCACATAAGAAGCGTGTTTCGGGCTGGCGAAGGAGGACACCCTGGCCGTCTTTCCCACGTGCTATCTGGTGTTCTCTGCGGCGCCTGCGCCTTGTTGCTCGTGTCGCTTTCTGCCACTGCCCTTGGCTCCCTCACCTCCTGCCCTGTGTGTCCTTCTCCTTGTCTCACATGCAGAGTCCCCAAGGTGGCTTTGGCTGTGACTGGCCACTGTCCCTTGAGGGAGTCCCTTGGATACAGTCCATTCTCCCGGCACTGCTGATGTTGTCCCTATGGCCGGGGTGGTGGGGGCCACAGTGTCAGTCCTGGGGGCTTATGAGGGCGTGCCCGAGCCCGTGTCCCCGGACGGGGGCGAGCTGACAGGCAGTGGGGTGTCTAGCTTGTCCAGCCAGTACTCTGTTCTCTCCCCGACTTTTACTATGCTAATCCCTCAGTTGGCAGATTATCCCATACGCCTCATGCCTCTTTTTTCCTTAAGATTCAATTTCTCAGGGCACCTGGGTGGCTCAGTCGGTTAGGTGTCTGCCTTCGGCTCAGGTCATGATCTCAGGGTCCTGGGATGGAGCCCCACATCGGGCTCCCTGCTCAGCGGGAAGCCTGCTTCTCCCTCCCCCTCTGCCCCTCCCCCCTACTCTCTCTCTCTCTCCCAAATAAATGAATAAAATCTTTAAAAAGGAAAGATTTAATTTCTCATGTTTTTGGTTGATCTCCAATGACAGCGTTTGAACATCATCTGATGGTTCCTTTTCTTGTGTGTAAAGCCCTCAAAGACGCAGGTGAAATTTTGCAGGTCTGGGACTGGGGTGTCTGGCCCTGGGAGCCCAGGGAACAGGTCGATGGCCTGGTTGCATTGATGTGGCTTCGATTGGATTTGTGCTCTGGGTATAGTGCTGGAGGTGGAGCAAAAATGTCATTTGGGGAGCTTCTTTCACTTCCTATTGCCTCCCCCTGGTTGGTATGTAGTTATAGTCTCCTATTGCCTGGAGAGTGT